CCTTTAAAGCCTTGTGTCAGTAACCAAAAATTGAAAACTTTTTGTGCAATGATTTATATTGTATCGTTCATACTGGGTTACGTATTGTTTATTCCAAATTGTATTGAGAACGATGACCATTTTGTGATCGTTAAAATTCAACAACAGCGGCAGCAATGATAGTATTTTTTTAAAATGGCACGAATAATTTTTAACCAACAAAACAATTTCCCAATGTCACATTATCAGAATGGAGTCCCATCTTCATTCAGCAAAGAAAGATATCGTCGAAATCGTAAATTATTCTTTGTTTGCATCAGTCGTCTTCAACGCAATTGTACACATTCCTATCTCCATTGCATTTTGTGTAGAAACGAACAATTATTATTCTTCGGCAGTATTTTATGACGTTACTCTTCTGTTTAGAATTTTCAATACCCACGCGGTTAATCCCCTCATCTATGGCTTTTTGGACAAATAATTGTGATATTTTGGAGAAAGGCAAAGAAGAAAAAGTTATGTTGGATGATACTAAAGCAAAAAAATATTACTTCGATTGATAAAAGACTGCAGCAAACTAGGCAAATATCATTAAAATAAAACTAAAAGCTAAACAGAATAACAATTGTACAAAAGGGTCGCTCCGGTGTACACACATAGATATGTATAATAAACTAGATAGCGCATTGCAGTATAACGCCAAAGCAAAAGTAGAAGCCAAAGTAATCGGGTGCCCCTATTGTTAACACCCGATTACAAGGCTCCACGAGAGGCGCGATAACAAACTTTACTATATCAGAGCTTCAATGACGATTTATTTCTGTTATTTTTTAGATTAAAGCCATACGTAAACATAGCAGATTTTGTGGAAATATGAGTTTGAATAATATTATTAATACCTTTTCGTATTAAGTGAGACCTTCCAATATGGCGATTCTAGCTTCAAAGATATATTAGAGTGCGTTGTGCATTGCGTCCTCACGGCTGCCATTATTATAGCAAGATACTTAGGCCTTATCATATGTTTCCACCCAATACAATAATAGGACATTACTTCTTCGCATTGAAACAGAAAATATTTCAATATAAGAAATGACATCGTGTAATACCAGTGGTTGAGCACAAATGAAAAGATTTAAATATCCTCCTGGAATGATGGCAGCCGATATGTGCGGCACAACATATCTTTATAGTATCGAAAAAATATAATAAAAATATTTAGCAAAAGCTTTTGTCATGATATCGAGATATGTAACATATATGCACGTAGCTCCAAATAGAAGGAATATTCAGCTATAAATGAATTTAATTATGACGATTCGAAAATCGTAGTGACGTAATATACATTTATCCTTCGCGATGTTCACCACAAAAATCAACTAGAAACCATAAAACACAATCGTCAAAGCAAAGAATATAAACAATTTTCAATACCATTGTGAAAGATTAAGGCAACGTTCCGTATAGTAGAATCTTTTGGTGTTCATGTATTAATACTTTTTTCCAAAGCCATTATCATAGATTATACATAATATAAATCCTAACACGGTTTTTATATGCACATGAAAAACATGTGACTTGGACGAGTTTTGACCTAGCACCTTCGGAATACAAGTCCGCCGCTCTACCTGTTTAGCTACCAAGCCCACATAGATTGGAGACGAGTCAAATTACGTATGGACGAGAGATTCTCGCCACGATAGCACGTACTGGATGGCACCGTGTTTCGACTTTATTCCAAAGCCATCATCAGAGATTATACATAATATAAATCTTGTCCAAATCACATGTTTTTCATGTGCATATAAAAACCGTGTTAGGATTTAAATTGTGCATTAATACGATAAAGCAGATTACCAATTGTGATTTAATCGACAGCAAACACGTCGAAACAACAAATTAGTTAATTGCAATGAAGCAAAAAGTTTATGTCAGTTGACAAAGTGATGATGATTAGGAAAAAATAAACTAATTTGTTATTCTCGATTATTAAGCTGTTTTTTCATTTTGAATTAACAGTGTTCGGGTGTTAGACCGAAGGCCAACTGGAACACATTGAATGTATAATACCATCGACACATCGTTTGGCCCCAAATACGGGCACCGTATTTTTTTCTGAGGGAAAACCAACGGATCCAGTGAAAAACCTTAAATCAAAAACAGATTGAAAACTTAGAAAACTTGATCAACATTTAAGCACATTTTAAAGTTCCAACAGTTTTACATAAGGTTTTTTTCAATCGCTTTGATGATCCCAATGATCTGCTGTACTATATAAAGATGCTTCGAATTCAGATAAAGTATTAAATGCAAACAATCCATGGACATATAATGCCTTAACGGCTTAAATATACAAAAAAAACTAATTATACAGCAGCCAGACGCTGATTGAGATTTTTAAACTCTGAGATTTTTTCAAAATTCTTACATCTTCGTTTATAGAAATCATCGGTCTAGCTGGCTTTCACTTTCAAGTTTATTACGAATGTAAATTTTGCAGAAACTACTTGACATACGTATATTTCACCGCCATTTTCATCGAATACACTTGAAAATCAAATAATAATATTCAAGCAGTAAGACTTTGTTGTTCGTTGATTCTTTAGCTTCTGAGCTTTGTGCTTGTCAAGTGTCTAAGATGTAAAACAGGCAAGTAATCTTCCTCTCTAATCAAATGACAAATAATAAACAATATTTGATATCAGTGGTAGATCGTCCACACAACATTTTTGCTTTTCGGAAACTCGTACGTTTCTTGTACGTCATTAAAGCATTTTTTGCAAGCGCTGCATAAAATAGGTTGTCAAACAGCATGCTCTCCTCTAGATTATTTCCTTAATACATTTTAAAAAAAGTTGCATATGAAAGCCGGCTATTTGCTAGCGGACGCAGAGTACGTTTTAAAATTTTTCTCAAAGCGGAAGTGGTGAAAAAACCTAAATAAAAAATGTTAAAAATTGGGGGGGGGAGGCATAGTCTCGAGATTCTCACTCCTTATTTTAAAACCGCGCAGTAAGCACAGTTTGTCATTCTAGGTAAATATTTAATGATCACTAAACTTAAAAACAACTAGTAGCCAACTACGCTATGCACTACTTCAAAGGGATGCTGACTTTAGTGCCTAAACACGAAATTATAAAAGCATATCATCGGGATCTAGTTTACAATACAACTTAACAATTTTAAACCTGAATTGCCATTTTACTTTGATCACCGTTATTCTTCTTCTTGCAATCTCTCACTCTTTCAAACTTCCTATTACTTTTACCATATCACCCAGTGAGCCACCACGCCAGACGAGTGCGCTTGTCGAATCCGTGGAAATCACTTTTAATACACTTGCAATCTATTCCCAAGAACGTCTCACCATTGATTTTGCCCATGAGCAGAACACAGTTAAAACTTTCAGTCTTTAGTTTGCCCAATACAACGTAACAATAGCCAATGTAGCCTTCCAGCAATAGTAAATACGCAACCATTTGTGTGACCTGATGGAAAGAAGGAACATTTTAACACTCCAGTTAAGTCATCAATCAAACAGTGCTTGTTGTAGAGTCGATCTTCAATGAATGTTAGTTGACCACACGAAGATGGGCTCATATAGAAATAGGGCCCATCATCATTATATGCACAAACAACTGACATCCACAAAGAATCCAAAGAACAGTCAAACGTTGTTGGTCGTGAGTCACCATGACACATGAGTGACGAACAATTAGTGAGTGTCTGAAATACATGGTACGGGTGGTAAGGATTTTCGCTATAGTAAGATCTTCAAAATAACAAACAATTTTATAAAAGTCTTGATAATGAGCAAATGGTACAAGTGCAAAATGACATTTTTTTTCAAAAAATCCAGACGATTGAAGCGATTGCGTGCGATATCGTCCATGCACGCTTTCAGACGACAGACGAAAGAGACGAAAACAAAGTCGGGCTTTTTAAATAGTTCAGATGATACTACATAAAGCATGATGTTTATGACATAAATCCATAATATTGCCAGAGCTTTGTTATTAACTCCAAAATCCAGTATATCTTATCTTCTTATATTCATTTGTGAAAGCAAAAAGATGTACGCGTCATGATGTCTCTATTTTTCTTCAACTTGAACAATAACAAGCCTTCTCGTTCTTTCTAGCTTTAGGTTTTCTGATCCGTCTGTGGAATAACGGATCATTAGACGACCAAATTAGTTTGTTTTTCCCACAATCTGTTTGACAAGGGACAAATGATATGAAGAAGAACAAGTCAATACACAAACAGATAAAGGTAAAATGAATGAATGTTAAGCTTCATTAGTTTCCAAATATTAACTCAATAGAAACAATAAATATGTTTTTCATGTTTTTTTTTCTAGTAAACATTTAAAAGCAATAATTAAAACATAAATTCACTGATTTCAATGCCAGTTTTTTTATATTTTTGCCTTTAAAACGTCTCGCGCAAACCGCACAATCGGCGAGATTTGTGCGAGACTGAAGCTTTCGCGCATTATAAATGTTTTAAAGACAAAAAATAAAACACGTGTGCTGCTTAGTCTAAAGCTGTGTTTGCATTAGCCTGTGCAAACTAGTTGGAGCTCAACCTATCGAATCAATCAATCTATCAATGAGAATATGCAAATCAATTATAATCATAAATGCATTTAGAGAAAATGTAAACTTTTTTCAATTTGTCCATTTCGCATTATTGTTAATTTCTAAAAGGAATAATGATGTTTTTGTGTTTTCACAGGCTCTTATAAATAGATTCTTTGTAAGGATTGTTCACCCGTGGAACGCTATACCAGAAAATATCCAGAGTTCTCCAGCTTAAGCTATATTCATTTTATTTAACTACATTGAATAATGTTTTTGCACCGAACAATGTGCACATGTAAGAGATAATCTATCGTATATATAGGAAGATTATCTCTATGCCAGTTTGTAGTTTCTAGCAAGTTTTTTTATTATGGGTGGATTGCTTTGTAGGAGACCCTAGGACCCTTTTGCAATAACATCTTCCCGTATGGATGAATGTTTTAAATAAAAAAATAGATTTATTGAAAATTTTTATTTTAATTTGGATATATTTTTAAAGTTTTATGCTATAACAAATGCATATTATTGCAGAAACTTAAATCAAAAGTGTACTTCATATTATTGACTTGCATTCATTTGTGAAAGCAACATATACGCGCCAAGTGTCTATTTTTTGTCTTCTGAAGGACTAACAAGCCTTCCATTCTTCCAAGTTTTTATTTTGATCTTTTTTGGTAATACTTTTCAATAAACTATGACATTAGTTTTTCATTTGGATGCTTCTGACATGGGACACAAAACTAAAAGTCGTTTTCTTTGCAGCATCCGTGAGTCAAAATGTAAACATACATAAAAGCGTGACAATTAATGCCGATTAGACAAATAGTCAATTAAGTTCTTCCATTATTTATCCACGAATATTGGCTGAAAGCAAATGCACCTGAGTACAGCTCACCATCTGGATTTACTAGCTATGGATGCCGTTTGGCATATTATATAAACGTATACGTTGAACAAATTATGCAGAGCTATAGCTATTATTAAAGCGAGATTTATGTTGCTTAATGGCGTCAGCTTTGCTGATTTTTGGTTTGTGGCGAGTCAATGGGACAGGTATTTCTTTCACTCCAGCGACATCAAGAGCTTTAGACAGTGTTGGATTAATGCGTCTGCAGTACAAAACATCTTTCATCAAGTCCTTAACATATCCTGAGAAGCAAATCATTATTTATGTTGGCTTTGCATTGAGAAAAGGTAAGTTTCTTTTTCTGTGCTAACCATAAGTGCTGTCAACTTTCACTGGTTTGATGACCCCTTGTCCTTCTTTTGACTTTGAATAAGCCACTCTCCAAATCAATGCCTCCTCTGTTTGCCCATCATTCTTCGTTTTCTGAGGTTTATTTCCATTCTCATTGAAATGAAGAGCGGCAATAAACAATCTAAAAATGAATGTTAAGTTTATGTTTACAACTATTGCAACTTATTGCTTTTGCAATGATGACTTTTTTAAGTAATCATACACAAGTCATAATTATATTACCTTGCTTCCATTGATCTGTAGAAAAAATGGGTATGTTTTGGTGCAAAAAGAATTACCACTCAGTAGAAACCTTCGATGGATGAAGTCTGCTTCTGATAACTGAGTTTTCAAATATCCCTCATGAGAAACTTTGACTCAACAATCAAAGACAGCTCAACATAAGCTTTTGAACCTAAGATCAGAAGTTAGTTAACAAAAAAAAAGAATATTGATGTTACTTTGAAATTTATTTGCTTACAATACCTTTTTTATCCGCATTCTAGGCTCTAACATATCATGTTCACATTTTGGGAAAACATCACTATGTCCCTCATGGATCTCACATATATGATTGAGAACTGACAACCACTTTGCCTTGACAAGTTCTTCATTATCATTGTTGGAAGCAGCACACCAGTATACATGGTTGGAAATTAATTGGGCCCAATCTGACAATAATTTGCAACCACTTTTTTTTGATGCTGCCAAAATTTTCTTTTTGATTCCTGTTGGAATTTGATTATTGATGAAATGTGTAAAGGTTGGTTTGTTATGACAATCTATACCTTTTGCTACATGCCATACATCAAAGTAGTGCTCAATTTTCGGTCTTTGTTTTGACATGTAGGATTTGATTTGAGCATGTCTGTCTGTGGTCATCGATTTCACCTTCATCCCACTTTCATCAAACTTTGCCAGACATCTTTTGAATCCCTCAAGTTCCATTGCTCCAGTGTTGGTCACTTCATTGGACTGTTTAACATAATTATGTGAGTATTCTAACCATGTTTTATGTACAGTTGTTGAAGAATTGTTACCTGAACAAGTTGTGTGTCTAAAATGTTGTTAGATTTCAAATCCATGCAGCTATATGACCCATACTTGGCACAATGTCCAGGCGAATCACATCTTCCATCTCCTCCAATGTTAATGTTCCTTTCTCTGATTGATTCTAGAAGATGCTTTTGGTTCATATGCCAAACATTTGAAACACTGGGTATCAAATATATTGTTTGAATATAGCTATATGTGCGCTCTGACAGAAATTCTATGCCTGAGTGACGAAGGAATTGAAGAACTTTGCTGGGGTTACTATCACTAAACAAGATACTGGCAGCAAAGACCAAGTTTCCAAAAGGCATTCACCCATGCAGAGGTTGGCTATTCCAGTCTCGAACATAACCACAATGACATTTTGCTAGTACGTTAACCATACTACCAGTCGTTTTGGTCACAATGGAACAGCTTTCACCACAGCATGGGCATTGACTCACTAACTGTCTCAGGCAACTATCAAACACTATGTATTTGCTCTCATTTTGAGCACCTTCCCTATAACATAAAAATTACCATCAGAATAGGAGAGAGATAAACGTAACGTTCTGAGAAACATATAACAGAGAAAAGCAATGTAAAGAATAGTAAGGTGACTGGATAGTTGGTACTAAAGTTGCATTGTCATTGTCAGATTCTTCATTTTCGCTTAACCCATTTGAACATTGAGAGTCTGATCCATTGTAGCTATTGCTCATCGTCGACATGCTTTCTGTATCAGACCATACAGCGCTATTCTCAAAATGTTCAAACAATTTTTTAGCTGCAAGCGCCCTCTAATCAACACCACGTGACAACATGTGATCATTTCCACGCAAACTATGTTTTTGCCACGTATGTTCGAACATATAGCAATCATCTTCGTTTCATGTAAAAATATAACAAGGAGTAAGTGATTTTGAGTTATGTCATTGCTATATTGCATGGTTATATTAAGAAATAACTTGTCAGATAGTGCTTTAATTTGCTCGGAGACAAGTAGCTATAAGATAATAAAATTTATATTTATTAACAAAATTAATATCTTTTTTTCGATTTGGTGAACAACATAAAATATCAATCAAAGCAGACGCAATAGACGTCAGCCAAAAAGTAATCAAAAAACTGTAATGGTACTATATGCTGGTGCATTTATAAATAACTCTCATCTCAACTAGCTTTGGTTAGATAACGGCTAAACTAAAATAGCAAGACTTATCACGAATGTGGCACGACTTATTTTATGGTCGTTTGTTACAGTGCATTACCCATGAATGCTATCAAGGCACTAATTTATAATATAGTTACAAGTGTGCATCACGGTTGTCATACGGCCAGCAAACCTGTGGCAAGCATTAAACAAGCAAAATAATACAGTTATGAAGTGATCATGCTCTAACTTTGATACCACACATAATTGATTGTTTGACTTGCAAATGCAGGTATAAAATCTAAATTTTGACAATGGTATTGACAACCGGTTCGACAATTCCTCAAACTGAAAATTATGCTTGTTTTTTGTTTTCAAATGATACATCAACATGAAAAGCAAAATATTTGATATCTTAATCATACATTGCAATTGAAGGTGCAACTATAAAGTCTTATACATGAACATAGCCTGTAGCAGTGAAATTTAAAATGCGAAACGTTTACAAGTGCATTGGCCGTGAATGCTATCTGACACAAATTTATAATATTTACCAGAGAATAATACAGTTCTCATAAGGCCAGCAAATATTGTGGGTGATTCGTTGCTGTAGTTTACTCATCGAGCGGATAGCAACAGACAAGCAGTCACTCGCAGTCACAGCTAGGAAACGAAAATGTCATTTTTACCATCACGCTTTGGTTGTTGCCGTGATTAAGGAATACATATATTTCATACAAAAGGTGATACGCGCGTTTGATTCCATCGCTGAAACTTTAAGAATTTTACCTGCATAACGATCAAGGATCACATCACATCACATAAACAACAATGTTAGACATTTTGGCAGGTGGAGAAACATATTTTAAGGCACACGTTCTCACTGTGCTGACTCTTACTCAGAAAGCAAAATTTTGAATCGTGAAGAATATTCTTCTATTTTCCCGTTTGAATCAAACAACAAAACTATGTTGTTGCTATCTTTGAGCAATACAATAATTATCTTGTTTGCATGATGAAATATTTTAAAGAATAAAAGCTTTTTGTAATGAGCATTGTCAGTTTGAGACAATAAAGCCGTTGGACACATGTCTCAGAGCTCGGACAATAAGCGACATTTCTTTACAATTCTATAATTATCATCTGAGTAAGAGTATGCACAGCGAGAGTTACATAAATAATGTTTCTCCACCTGCCAAAATGTCTAACATTGTTGTTTATGTGATGTGACTTGATCCTCGTTATGCAGGTAGAACTTCTCAAAGTTTCAGCGATGGAATCGAACGCGCGTACCATCTTTTGTACGAAGTATATGTATTCCTTGGTCACGGCGAAAACCAAATTATTGAACATATAGTAATTATCTTGACTGCATGATGAAATATTATAAAGAATAAAAGCTTTTTGTCATAAGCACTGTCATTTTGAGACAATTAAGACCTAGGAGATGGCTTTTGCTCCAGGGAAAGTAAATTATGCCAACGTATCTTTGTTTATCTTTGTGAAATTATTAAAAATACGTGCGTAAGCTCACGTCAAAAGAAATAAGCTTTAATTTTTAAAAAGAACCAATCGGGACAAATGAATGAATTTTGCAAACGTTACGCATTTTAAATTTCACTGCCACAGGCTATGTTCAGTGAATGTTTAGGTATAAGCCTTTATAGTTGCACCTTCAATTGCAATGTATGATTAAGTTATCAAATATTTTGCTTTTTCATGTTGATGTATCATTTGAAAACAAAAAGTAAGCATAATTTTCTGTTTGAGGAATTGTCGAACCAGTTATCAATACCATTGTCAAAAGTCAGATTTGATACCTGCATTTGCATGTCAAACAATGAATTATGCGTGATATTGAAGTTAGAGCATGATCGCTTCATAACTGTATTGTTTTGCTTGTCTGTTGCTTGCCGCTCGATTTACAAACAACAGCAACGAATCACCGAGAGGATTTGCTGGCCTTATGAGAACTCTATTATTCTCTTGTAATTATCATAAGTTTGTGTCAGAAAGCATTCATGGCGACTTCACTGGAACAAACGACCATAAAATACGACGTGCCATATTCCTGATCAGTCTTGCTTTTCTAAATGCAGCCGTTTGCTTAATAATTGAGAGTTATCTACATGCATGCACCCACATATTAACATTACAGATCTCTGATAATTCAATAATCACTTGACAAGGCGGTAAACGGTACTGTTGCTTTCAACAGCGTATATTTGCCATATTGAAGTACGCCTAAGTCATATAAACTGCTGAAAACCATAGTTAATTAAGATTTCTATAAATTAATCCTATCTGTGTCAGTGTAGCAGATCTGCAAAAATCACTAAACGAAATGCAAGATACTTTTTAAAAAATTTGCCATAAATGACATTGCATGTGCTTTGATGAAGTCCAATAATCTACTTCTATTTACAGTAAAGAGAAGAAAGAATGACATTGCCCTTAAATCGGGAGGTGACGTCCAAAACAGTAATAAGTTAAATATAAAATATTTTTGACGGCGAAGCAAGTGTTGGTTAACTTAATACGGATTCCATGCATGTTCTAACTTTAAATACAACACATAATTAAATGTTTGACATTCAAATGCAAGCATTGAATCGGAATTTGACAATGGTGTTGATAACCGGTGAGATAAGTCCTCAAACAGAAATTTATGCTCATTTTTTGTTTTCAAATGATACATCAACATGACAAGCAAAATATTTGATAACTTAATCATAAATTGCACTTGAAAGTGCAACTATAAAAGCTTATACATGAACACTCACTGAACACAGCTTGTAGCAATGAAATTTAAACAGCAGATTGTTTACAAGATTCATTCATTTTCCCAATTGGTTGTTTTAAAAATTGGAGCAAATTCGTATAAATTCATATTACAGTAGCTCGAAACCACTATAATGTCAAAGTTGAGGAAATGCGACAGTATTCGCTTTTGACAGTTTTTCTACAGGCATAATATCTTCTGCTACTTGCTCTTCATTGTCAGTAAGCTGATAATTGATCTTATACAGTCCTAGTTCAGCGTTGTGAAAAGTCTGTATCAATGGCGAAACTTAGATGCTAATTGGGTGTGGGAGGTGGGGTGGTTAAGTATTTATATATTCAGCTCTATCCCTTCGATTTCAATTAAATTTATACCACTGACCTATATAGTAATTGCGTCAGGATCAATCATTTCTTCATTAAACCTCTCAAGCGAACTCAAGAAGCTTGCCTATTCTAGTGTTTTATCCATTATATCTGGCAAAATTGACGCCCAACAGCCACGCTTAAGTACAACTGTCTATTGACTGTTCAACAACAATGTTCAACCGGTTACCAGTGAGTTCGACAACAAGTAAACGTCATCTTGTGTTTCAGATAATTATTCAATACTTCATATTAGATATCACATAATGACAAAATAACCTCATTACGCAATAACCACATAACAAATGAACAAGATAACGAAATAACCACATAACGAATAAACTTCGCAATAAGTTTACGTTCGTATAATAAAAAGATCACTGCATATAATGGTGGATGGAAGGCACGTATTGACAAATTAACATTACCTAAAAAATATCATGGCATACGGAGTTCTACACATGGCATTCCGTGCAGTTGATTCACAAACTTTCCAATGAATGTCAAGTGTTTAAACTACAAAGAACATTTTACTTCTTAAATAGGTTGTTACAAAGAGTACATGATTTTATTGTTCACTATCGGTATTTTTCGATGTCATTAATTACATCTACACTAAAATCATCAATAAGCAAAAATGATGAATGATAAGAAAAGTAAAGTCACAGCCAGGCTACGTTTTTAGTCAAATTCTCCTGACGTTTCTTCTACGACGTATTCGCACTTTAAAGTACAGTCATCAGATGCAAGGGGACTTAAGAAATCACACGTCAATTTTTTCACACGATAATTCTTATGACTCGGTGCTGTAAATTTTATCTTTGAAGTACGACTCCAATCTTCTTCCAAGCCTGAAAACAATGAATTTTCAATCTGGGTGCTGATTCTGGTCTCCATGTCTACACCGATCTTAGGAATAGAAAGTGATGCCTTTAAAGATGTTTCTAAACCAACGGTCGTTGAAATCGACGTGGACGAAGTAAGCTTAAGACCAGTCATTACAAATATTTCTTCCGAGAAAGGTTCTGATCCCTGTCTGTTGTCGCAGCTCCATATTGTAACATTGCAAACGTCTGCTTTGTACCTTGGCACTAGTTTCCACAATTGGTCTTCATGTTTGGCTCCGTCATAAGTACCCCAGTTTTCATCATCTTTTCCGAATTTTGTAATTCTTGAATTGCTGTACTTAAAATTGTATATTCGGTAGAAACCATCTTAAAGAGAGTATGTCATGAAATAATTTTTAATCGTATCATGAAAAGGATTATATAAATGTTTATATATAATAGTAGCATGAATTAAAGGCTAACTGGTTAAATATATGGGATTTGAATATAAATGAGTGTTCAATTTTCGTTTCCCTGTTAATTTTGATTTGTTTGGCATACATACCACCTTCATTTTCGAATTTCCACATTTGATTGTCAAAATACTGGCCATTGTACGAACCAACTTCATTGTTTTCAGGTCCCCACTTTGCTACTCGATATCCATCATATTTCAAATTGTAGATGTAGTAATATCCTGGATGGTTTGCATCTTCCTTTAGTTGCCAAAACTGATCTAACTCGACCTTTTGTTCGTGAGTACCCATTTCTCTGCTTTTGGTTCCCCACATCGCCAAATTTGCATGGTAATAATACTTATTGACGATCAGGAAAGTACCTTTATCCAGTTTCATCTAAAAATGATGACAGAAGACGTACGCTGTTAGCTAACTAGTCATTTGATGACAATCTTGCGGACCTTTATTAGACAGAAAATACGGTCATTCTCATTTTATGAAAAAGAATACGCTTGTTACATGAACTGAGGTCGTGTAAGCTGCAATATTATATTTGAAATTTTTAGAAACGTACAGTGGGCAGTAAGTCACAGTATGAAAATAAGAAATCCTTATTTCAACAAACTAGACAAGGTTCATGTATATTTATCAAATTAAAGCTCTACTCACCTTACTGAAAAGTTTGTTGAAGATAAAATTATGCCACGTAACGAATGAAAGCTTTTCTATAGCGCAAGACAATTTATAGCTGCAAACGCCCTCTAATTAACACCACAGGACAACCTGTGACCACTTGCACGCAAACTATGTTTTTGCCACGTATAATTGAACATATAGCAATCATCTTCGTTGCACGTAAAAATATAACAAAGAATAAGTGCTTTTTAGTTTTGTCAATGCTATATTGCATGGTTATATTAAGAAATAACTTGTCAGATAGTGCTTTAATTTGCTCGGGGACAAGTAGCTATAAGATAATAACAAATTCTATTTATTAACAAAATTAATGTCTTTTTTTCGAATTTGTGAACAACATGAAATATCAATCAAAGCAGACGTAATAGACGTCAGCAAAAAAAGCAATCAAAAAACTATAATGGTAATATATGCTGGTGCATTATATATACTCTCATGTCAACAAGCTTTGGTTAGCTAACGGCTGCATTGAAAATAGCAAGACTTATCACAAATATGGCACAACTTTTTTTATGGTCGTTTGTTACAGTGCATTAGCCATGAATGCTATCATGCTAATAATTTATAATATAGTTACGAGTGTGCATTACGGTTTTCATACAGCCAGGAAAATATGTGGCAAGCAACAGACAGCAAAATAATACAGTATGAAGTGATCATGCTCTAACTTTAAATACAACATATAATTGATTGTTCGACATTCAAATGCAGTTATCGAATCTGAACTTTGACAATGGTATTGATAACTGCTGGAACAAGTCGTCAAACAGAAAATTATGCTTACTTGATATCTTAATTTGATATCTTAATCATACATTGCAATTGAAGGTGCAACTATAAAGGCTCATATCTGAACACTCACTGAACACAGCCTATAGCAGTGAAATTTAAGATGCAAAACGTTTACAAGATTCATTCATTTGTCCCAATTGGTTCTTTTTAAAAATTAGAGCTCATTTCCTTTGACGTGGGCGTACGCACGTATCTTTAATAATTTCACAAAGATAAACAAAGAACGTTTGCATAATCTACTTTCCCTGGAGCAAAAGCCATCTCCGAAGTCGAAATTGTCTGAAAATGACAATGCTCATGACAAAAAGCTTTTACTCTTTATAATATTTCATCATGCAGCCCAGTTAATTATTATATGCTCAATAATTTGGTTGTTGACGTGATTAAGGAATACATATATTTCATAGAAAAGATGGTACGCGCGTTTGATTCCATCTCTGAAATTTTCATAAGTTCTACCTTCATAACGAGGATTAAATCACATCACATAAACAACAATGTTAGACATTTTGGCAGGTGGAGAAATATCTTTTGAGTAACAACACTCGCTGTATATACTCTTACTCAGATGATAATTATAGAATTGTAAAGGAATGTCGCTTATTGTCCGAGTTGTGCGACATGTATCCGACGGCTTATTTGTCTCAAAATGACAATACTCATGACAAAAAGCTTTTATTCTTTATAATATTTCATCATGCAACCAAGATAATTATTATAAGCTCAAAATAGCAACAACATAGTTTTGTTGTTCGACTCAAACGGAAAGTAAAAAGAATATTTTTCATGAATAGAAATTTTGCTATCTGTGTAAGAGTCAGCACAGTGAGTATGCGTGCCTTAAAAGATGTTTTCCAATCGCAGTCACAGCTAGAAAGCAAAAATGCTATTTTTACAATCACGCTTTGGTTGTTGCCGTAATTAAGGAATACATATATTTCATACAAGAGATGGTACACAAGTTAGATTCCATCGCTGAAACTTTGAGAAGCTCTATCTGCATAACGAGGATCACATTACATCACATAAACAACAATGTTATACATTTTGGTAGGTGGAGAAACATCTTTTAAGGCACACGTTCTCACTGTGCTGATTCTTACTCAGATAGCAAAATTTCGAATCAAGCAGAATATTTTTTTTACTTTCCGTTTGAATCGAACAACAAAACTATGCTGTTGCTATTTTTGAGCAATACAATAATTATTTTGGTTGCATGATGAAATATTATAAAGAATAAAAGCTTTTTGTCATGAGCATTGTCAACTGGGACAATTAAGCCGTTGGACACATGTCTCAGAACTAGGACAATAAGCGGCATTTCTTTACAATTCTATAATTATCATCTGAGTAGGAGTATGCACAGCGAGAGTTACATAAATAATATTTCTCCACCTGCCAAAATGTCTAACGTTGTTTATGTGATGTGATGTGATCCTCGTTATGCAGATAAAACTTCTCAAGATTTCATCGATGGAATCAAACGCGTGTACCATCTTTTGTATGAAATATATGTATTCCTTAATCACGGCAACAACCAAATTATTGAGCAAATAATAATTATCTTGGTTGCATGATGAAATATTATAAAGAATAAAAGCTTTTTGTCATAAGCACTGTCATTTTGAGACAACTAAGACCTAGGAGATGGCTTTTGCTCCAGGGAAAGTAAATTATGCAAACGTATCTTTGTTTATCTTTGTGAAATTATTAAAGATACGTGCGTAAGCTCACGTCAAAAGAAATAAGCTTTAATTTTTAAAAAGAACCAATCGGGACAAATGAATGAATTTTGCAAACGTTACGCATTTTAAATTTCACTGCCACAGGCTATGTTCAGTGAATGTTTAGGTATAAGCCTTTATAGTTGCACCTTCAATTGCAATGTATGATTAAGTTATCAAATATTTTGCCTTTTCATGTTGATGTATCATTTGAAAACAAAAAGTAAGCATAATTTTCTGTTTGAGGAATTGTCGCACCGGTTATCAATACCATTGTCAAAATTCAGATTTGATACCTGCATTTGCATGTAAAACAATGAATTATGTGTGATATTGAAGTTAGAGCATGGTCGCTTTATAACTGTATTATTTTGCTTGTCTGTTGCTTGCCGCTCGATTTTAAACTACAGCAACGAATCACTCACAGGATTTGCTGGCCTTATGAGAACTCTATTATTCTCTTGTAATTATCATAAATTTGTGTCAGATAGCATTCATGGCTACTTCACTGGAACAAACGACCATAAAATACGACGTGCCATATTCGTGGTCACTATTGCCATTTTAAATGCAGTCGTTGTCTTAATGCATGAGAATTATCTACATACACCCACATATTATCATTAAATACAAAATATATTAATCCTAACATGGTTTTTAATATGCGCATGAAAAACATGTGACTTGGACGAGATTTTGAACTCGCACCTTCGGGATACTAGTCCGCCGTTCTGCCTTTTGAGCTACGAAGCCCACAGGGATTGGAGACGAGTCGAATCTCTTTTAAACTGCGTATGGACGAGAGATTCTCGCCACTATAACAGTTTACTGGATGGCACCGTGTTTCGACTTTATTCCAAAGCCATCATCAGAGTATATACATAATATATTAATCCCAACACGGTTTTTAATATACACATGAAAAACATGTGACTCGTCCAAGTCTGATGGCTTTGGAATATTATCATTACAGATCTCTGATTATTCAATAATCACTTGAGAAGGCGGTAAACGGTACTGTTGTTTTGAACAGCGTATAATTGCCATAGTGAAGTACGCCTAGGTCGAATAAATTGCTGAAAACCATAATTAATTAAGCTTTCTATAAATTAATCCTTTCTGTGTCAGTGTAGCAGATCTGCAAAAATCAGCAATCGAAATGGCAAGATACTTTTTTAAAAATTCGTTATAAATAACAGTGCATGTGCTTTGATGAAATCCAAAAATCTACTTCTATTTACAGTAAAGACGAGAAAGAATGACATTGCCCTTAAATCGGGAGGTGACGTCCAAAACAGAAATAAGTTAAATATTTTTTTAGGGCGAAGCAAGTGTTGGTTAACTTAATACAGATTCCATGCATGTTCTAACTTTAAATACAACACAGTATTCTTCTTCTAATGTTTTATTCATTATATCTGGCAAAATTAACGCACGACAGCCATGACTTAAGCACTACTTTCTATTGACTGTTCAACAACATTGTTCAACCAGTTACCAGTGAGTTCAACAATAAGTAAAAATCCATCTTGTGTTTCAGTTAATTCTTCAATATTTTATTTTAGATATGACATAATGGCAAAATAACCTCACCACCCAATAACCACATAACAAATGAACAAGATAACGAAATAACCACATAACGAATAAACTACGTATAATGAAAAGTGTACTACATATCATGACAAATGGAGAGGGACTGCATATAATGAAAAGATCACTGCATATAATTATAGATGGACCGCATGTATTGACAAATTAACATTACGTAAAAAAACATTAGTAACATTTAAACAACACTCTACTAAACCAATTTGATAAAGATATGACATGATTAAGTTATATAAAACGCAATGAATTAAACAGTTTGAAGCTTCGCATCTACAGTAAGTCATCATCAATCTCAGTACCAATGTTTACACAAACACAAACTTTATGGCCATCCCATTTTACATGTTTGTGAATTGGCATTTCATCAAGCAGCAAAACACCCACAACCTTGTCATCTTTCTTTGGTAGTTGAACTTCAATTTTAAAGCATTCAAGGCATACTTAGTGAATCCATAGTTTCCATCCGTAAAATTTGACCATGATCAATTTAAATAATTCTAATTAGAGAAGGCAATAAATAATTTATCTTTTCAGTCTTAATATTTTTTTGAAGACTCTGCCTAGTTACTAACATCTTCCAGTCATCTTTGCTATCTGATCTTCCCAGCATCTTGTCAGCAAAAAAAAACATAGCAAGCTCTTCTCCAAATCATGGGTACTGTTTGGGCTGATCATTTTATTTTGATATCTTCCCACTGAGTAAAGTGTGTGCAGAGTCTTTTTTGCGTCAGGGAAACTATTTTGCAAATAGATTGGTAAATTCACGATTTTATACACAAATAACAGGAAAGTATGCTGAGTTTTATAAACAAAAACAAAAAAACATCAGTATATTTGGCGTTCAAATCAATCTTAAAAATTAGAGCTACACAATACGGATTTTATGGCTTTTATAGCATACAATTGCTTTTCTTGATGAAC